AGCTTAGTCTCCTAGTATAGCTCGGAGATCGAACAGGCCCTTGATTGTAATAATTTTTTATTTTGGGCCGCTACGTGTAAGAATTTTTATTTTGGGGCCTCATTTTCATTTTTGGGCCTCTATGTGTAAATTCCCCTAAATTTAAATATTCTTTTGATATAGTGAAGATATTTACATTTATATATAAATTTCATTTATATTAAAAGTTTTTTAATATATAAATCTTTTTATATATCGAATCTCTTGATATAGTGAAGAAAATGAGTGAAATAGCACAATTACAGGCTACTATAATCTAATCAGATCGCAGATCAAAATCAGGTGAGTTATGGGAGCACAAGCCACTGTGGTACAACCAGTACCTAAGCCACTAAAAATTTCTTAAAATCTGTCATTTCAACGGCCGGCGGGAAACCACAGGCTGGCAATCAATCCGACAACGCTTACTACCTGATACGTAATTTATTTTTAACCTTTCGGGATGATCATTTGTTTCGGACATTTGACCCATAATAGTGCTTAAAATGTTTTTCGAATCGGTTCTAGAGATTGGACCTGGGTAAGGTCATGAATTATTTAGGTATTTAGATTACAAGCATACACCAAATTCAACTTGACTTTCCATCCTAATTGAGACACTGCTATATCATTTCTTGATACACCATAACATCTTAAAAACGCAATAATCCTTCAATTCTTTAACGAAATTTCTAGATTTCGTCAACCATGAATGAGTTTAAACATTAAACTAGAGGTGGGTTTCATGCGTGCGTATTATTATAAATATTTTATATAAGTTTCGTTCTGCTAAGGCAGGCAATTCATAAGGATTCTCAAAACTGTTATTTATCTGATGAAATGGGATCTGCTAATGGAATGCTTTAAAGAATTGGAGTTGAAAAGAATGGTCACCAGGCATTTACTTGAAATAACAAATCAGCGGATATGAATAATTCTGATGAAAGAATTATGTTTGGTTACTGTTATGAGCACGGAGTTGATGTTGAAAAGGATGAGTATAAAGCATTCACACGCTATAAAAATCTGCAAAATTGAATAGTTCTAATAGAATGTTTTCAAGTTTGTTTTTACTATTATTATGGGATTGGTCTTGAAATAGACAAACATCAGGCATTTGAGCATTACTTAAATTCACTAAAATTAATGTGGAAATGAATTATAATAAATTTTGAAAAGTAAACGATTTTTTTTTAATTTTGTCTATAAGATATATATATATATATATTTTTTTTTTAAATCGTTCATACAATTTCAATTATCATGGAGTAAGTAATAAGAATGTTCTTAATCTATATAAATATGTAATTCAAGTTTAAAATATTTTACCTGTTTTAACTGCTATTACCATAATTTAGCCTGCGAATATAAAAGATGTTTTATCTCTAAATACTTATTTACAATTAATTACCCAATACCCTTCAAATATTACGTGATTATAAAGATGATTTATTAACGTTAATAATAAATTGTGAATGAATTTACTAAGCTTTGGACATACCAAAATGTACATTACTGCTTGACAGTATAAAGAAGGATCTCCAAAAAATGACAAGGTCAGAATCTAGTTTTGACGCGACACATAAAAGGAAAGTTTAAAAAATAATTAACACCTGGAAAGTACGTTTTATTAATAAGCTAGTGTTTTAAACAAGTAAGGAAAAGCTGTGACTCTTAGTCTACAATTATGAACTCTTAGTTCTTCCTGAGTGCAAGCTGTGACTCTTAGTCTACAGTTATGAACTTTTAGTTCGACACTTAAAAAAGCGCAAACTGTGACTCTTGGTCTACAGTCATGAACTCTTAGTTCAGTGTTTTTTTTGCTTGTATGTTTATGCTTATTATATAATGAGTTGTTGTTAATGGTGCATATTACAACAAGTTTGAGTTTCATCAGATAAGATTCTATCTAGTCTGAAAAATTTCATAAGGTAAAAAAAGAAAAAAAAAACTATCAGTAATATTATTTTCAATTAGATAGAGTTTGGTTTTGCCAATTTTGATATACAAAATTGAACTTCGCCTACAACACTATTCCTGATGTTTCTCCAACTAAAACATCCTAGGATGAGTACTGTTTCAAGTTGCTATATCTAGCATTCGTCTGTTGTTTTTTTACTACTGTAGCTCATACAAGAATACAATATCAGTTGAATCGTGTGATAAGTAGTACTGCAAAAAGGTCAGATTTTTCGTGTTTAGTCAATGAAATTCCCATTTTGAATTCTGAAATCAAGCCATCTGGATTCACACCTCTTCAACAAAAAAAAAAAAGACAAGTTGAAGGTACAGTTGCGAAAGCATAAGTCTATCAATCAGCTGCTAAGAACGAAGATAGTCTAGCAGAAACAGTATTGTTAACAAATCAAGGTATATACTGTTATGCGTCCCACGCATTATTTTCCATAAGTTGTCGAAGTTCTTCTAGCTTTAACTTACGCAGGTCTGAGAACCCAAGTCTTGTGGTTCAGTAGATTTGTTTCAGCCCATATTTTAAAAATAGGTCGTATATACAGACTGAGGAGGTGTAATAGTGTCTTTTTACCATATCTCTGAACTGACTTTGCTGCTGCCAGGTTCCATTGGCATACAACATTCCTAGGTAGTATCCATATACGAGGGCGTCTACTCGTTGTTTTAACCTTAGGGCTCTCTGTAAGTGATTCATTGTTAGGGTTATACACCCAGAAAAATCAAAAGTCGAATCAAAGGGCGGGGGTGCCGGATCAACATAGAGGGAAAACGAGTTGGTAACGTCGTCCATGATTTCGGTAAATATAATCGGAGCTCTAGACATTTTACATAGAATTTCCAAATAGTTAAGAATTCTGTACCCTTTTCTTTTTGTTTTACCTCTCCTTTTTATTTCTTTTGCGTCTTCTCTGATCTATTTCCTTATCAATCTTTTATTATTTATGCAAAAATTTTTTTTTTTTTTTTTTTTTTTATCTATTTTTACTACTAACGTTCATAATATTTCTTTAGTAGTTTGATATTAATAGGTGTCGCTACGACCTTCCCTTCTAATGTTCTTAACTTAATTACGTTTTTAGGTAGTACCTCGTATACATAGAATGGTCCTTTCCACTTCGGGCTGAATTTTACACTTCTATTATATTCCAATGCTGCACGATACATTAGTACCTTGTCTCCTATTTCTAAATTAGGTTATTTCTTGACATGTTTGTCACACCGATCCTTCATCGTGGCTTGTGCTTTGTGGACTCGCATGACAGCGGCATTACGAATCTTGAGTAAGTCTTGTATTAGTTTTTCTATCCTTTCTAGGATTGTCTCACTTACTAATTTCCATGTGTCACTAGATCCAATAGGTAACCTGGCCTCTCGGCCATTAACCAAAAAAAATGGAGTTATTTTGGTCATCGAATGCTTAGTGGTTCTATAAGCAAACAAAATTGCAGGTATTATTAAGTCCCAGTTAGTAACCTGCTCTACTAACTTTGCTATTGCTTCACATAAGGTCTTATTGAAGTGTTCTACTAATCTATTTGTTTGGGGATGGTACGGCGTGGATAACAGGTGTTTTATGCGGAATTTGTCCAGTAACTTGTCCACCAACTGGTTATGGAAATGGGTACCTCGATCTGACAGTAACTTTTCTGGGCACCTGTGTCGACAAATTATATCATCGAATATAAAATTCGCGACTTTCTGGGCGTTGGCTGACTTTATGGCTTTAGCCTCTGGCCACTTAGTCATGTAATCGGTGGCTACAACAATATACCGGTTCTCTCTAGGCATTATTGGTAATGGACCTACGATATCAATCCCTACTTGGTAGAAAGGGGTCCTAACCGGTATTGGATGGAGTGGTCCTCTTTCCTTATTTTTACCCCTTCTCTGACATTTATCACAATATTTAACATGTTCTTTTATATCCCTGTACATCTTAGGCCAAAAGTATATTCGTCGAATCTTATTAAATATAGCATCGGTGCTGAAATGTCCTCCCAATGGGTGGTCATGAGTCATTAAGAGGATAGCCTCGGTCTCGCCCTTTTGTACGATTTTTAACAACTTAATCGGATCCTGGGTATCTTTCTTATATAAACTTCCATCTATCACTTTCATATTCTTACTACTACTAATGATTTGTTTAATTTGTTTTTGATTTAGGTTTGATGGGTATTGTTGATCGTTTAGGTATCCTATAATGTGCTTATATAATGTTGGCTCCATTCTTTAGCTTGCCAGGACACCGACAACCTAGGCTGAATAGTATTTAATGTCGGATTTGAGTATTTATTTTCTTTTCTTGTGTTGTTCTCCTTTTGAAATATTATTCTAATTACTTGTTTATTTGTTTTGTAGGTTTTTCGTTTCGGGTGGGTTTTAATACTGAATAAAGGTTTCGGTGGCATAGAGTTCTAATCCAATCTTTCCCCAGGTGGGTATACTTATGTTATATAATTCGTCTAGTTTTTTTAGTGTATCGTTTATTTCCTGTTTGTTGTTTACCATATGCTGATAGCCGTTTTGTTCTGACCAGGTTATTGCTCTACTTGATTCGATTGTAAGTGCCCTTAATAACTCTTCATATTCAGCTTCTTTTTCGGTATAGTTCTCTAACTCTTCATTCTTATTTATATTCCACCAGTCCCATTCGGTTTCATAGTCATAGGTTATGTTGGGGTCTGGTTCGGTCCATTCCTTATTGGAGTCTTCGCTTTCAGTCCAATAATTGTTATACTTGTCATATTCATCATATTCTGCCAAATTTATTAACCAATCTAACTCTGTTTGTTCTTTGTCTTTTTCTACTAACTGTTTAAACTTTCGTTTTTCTTTCTTAGGTTCTTGGCTACGAGAAAGGCTGTCAGCGTTATTATGGATCCTACCAGCTCGGTGCTCTATAATGTAATTATAGGGCTGTAACTTAATGATCTACCTTGCACGCCTACTATTGAGCTTGATCGTATGGAGCCATTTTAGGGCTATGTGGTCGGTTACTATAATGAAAGGCTTAAATCCAAAATAGTGATGGTAGTGTTCTACGGCCTATAATACCGCTAAGCATTCCAATTCGGTGGCAGAATAATTTCTCTCTGCCTTGGTTAGGCTTCAGCTGGCATAGGAAATTACGTGGTCCTTATTCTTTTTAGATTTTTGTGCTAACACTGCTCCTAGTCCCGTACCAGACGCATCTGTATACAAATAGAATGTCTTAGTGAAGTCTGGGTACTGGAGGATCGGTGCTGAAATTAGATGATCCTTCAGTTTATTGAATACTGTCTGCTGTTCTTTTCCCTATTTATAACTTATGTCTTTCTTTAATAAATTGTGTAGGGGACAGGCTATTGAAGCAAAATGTTTGATGAAATGGCGATAGTAGGATGCTAATCCTATAAAAGCCCTCAATTGTCTAACCGTTCTTGGGGTTGGATAATTTTTTACCTTTTCTATTTTAGAGTCGTCAGGGTGTATCCCGTTGCGTCCTACTACGTGACCAAGGAACTAGATTTCGGGCTTGAAAAAGGTACACTTCTCTACGTTAACCTTTAAGTTTGCTTCTTTTAGCTTATTGAACACTCTTTCCAGATGGTCTAGATGCTCCGTAAAAGTTTGGGAGTATACATTGATGTCGTCAATATATACCTCCACAAACTTTCCAATATACTCTGACATTACCGCATCCATCAACTGCTGGAAGGTTGTCAGGGCGTTGCAAAGCCCAAATGGCATTACCCAGAATTCGTATAACCCGCTTCTAGTAATAAATACGGTCTTTTCTTGATCGATTTTATTCATCCTAACCTGCCAATAACCACTCCTTAGGTCTATGCTTGAAAACCACTTTGCTTCTTTAAATTTTTCCAGTAGGTCGTCGATTCTTGGTAGTGGGTATGCATCCTTTTTGGTAACCGCATTTAGCTTACGGTAGTCGACGCATATACGGAGTTTACCGCCTTTCTTAGGAACGATTACCACCGGCGAGGCCCACGGACTTTTGGATTTTTGTATTAGACCTTGCTTTTCCATGTCTACTAATTCTTTATCGATGAATTCTTGTTCATCTGGGGACGTTCTGTAGAAGTGTTGCCTTATAGGTTTGGCCTCGGAGGTGTCAATATGGTGAGTAGTTATGTCAGTCTGGCCCAGACTGTCTTGGTTGTTAAAGAGCTCAACCTTTTGGCTAAAGAATTCTTAGGCTCTTTTTCTTTCTTCTTTAGTTAGAGTATTGTTATGTAGCAGTTTATCCATTATTTCGTCATGGGTAAGTATTTTATTTTCTTTCTCTTCTTCTTGTGTAGGGAGTTCCTCTATCGCAGTTAAATATATTGCCGGGCTAATCTCGTCTTTCTACGGGTTTTCGTAGATGTCCAGTTCTTCCTCTGATGATTCCAGGGTGTAGTATCTTTCTGCTTCATTCAGGTCTTCGTTTTCATAAGTGAACTCATCAAAAGTATCTTCGCTTTCAACGTCCTAATTATTTTCTTTATTATGCTAGTTTAGGGCTCCATTACTGGTATGTGAAATCGAGACTTCTATTGTTCTACCTTGGTACTTGAGGATTAATTTTTGTTCGTCGAAGTGAAGTCGGGCCTTTGACTTTTGGAACCAATCGGTTTCCAACAACAAGGTTTCATCTGAGGACTCGATTATTTGTACGGTGCTTGGAATTATGGTATCTTGTATGGTTATTCTTAGGTTATTTATTTTGCCTAATGCTCTTGTCTTTGCTCCTGTGGCTGTAACCACAACGGTAGGGGATTTTTCTTGAATTCTCAGTCCTAATTTATCTACCAATTTTTTTGTCATTATACTAACGACGGCACCGGAATCCAACACAGCAACAACCGGGTTTCCTTTGATCCTGATGAAGCACCTGGCAGCTGTAGTGCGCTTTGGTTCTTCAAATGTTACATGGCTAGCCTCTTGTACCTGTGGTAGTGGTCTTCTTAGGATCTTAGCCAGATTTCGTCTTTGGTTGGGGTATTGGAGCAATTGATCTATAGTTACATGTGCTGGAGCATTCAAGATATCTTCGGCGATGTTATAAGGGGTGAGTTTATCGATGATCGATGGTTCTCGCTTCCTTCTTGGTCGTTTCTCTGGTGCAAACACATCCTCATCCATTATATCATGCGTTTCTTCTAATGGTATTAACTGGGGTTCGGAGGTATTTTTATTCTGTAACCTATTTTCCCACCTTGATTCTGCTTGTCCTTGAGGCTGTTTTCCATTACTGGTTCCTTCGTAGGGGTAGTGTCTTTGTTGCTCATTTAATACGTAGACCTTTTCGGGTTCTCCTTATAAATCGTCATCATCACTATCTTGGCTAGGGTTTCTTTTCATATAATGACTAACTTTCCTTCTTTCTTCACTATCTCTTATAGGTTTCTTTTCGGACATACAGTAACAGGCGATATGTCCTATTTCACCACAGCTGTAACACATTATATCTTTCTTCGGTTCTCTCAGAGGTCCTCTATAGTATGTTTCATTTTGGATGTTCTTTCTTTCGTTATCTTCTTAGAAGTTATTGCGGCGTCTTTCGTAGGTATAGGGTTCCTTTATCCAGTTAGAATTTACGGCAGTGAAATTTAGTGCGATCTGTTCTATTTTCTGGGACAGGTTTCCCAGTTCTTCCTCTAATTTCTTTTGTTGGGTTCTTTCGGGGGTTTGCCTACTGTAATACTCCCCTGCTTCTACCTTTCTAGTGCTGACGATAGCTTCTTCCAAGTTCTCAGGTTCCGATACTGCGACAAAAGTCGCTGTCTTCCCTCTTAGCCCACTTAGGAACATCCTTATTACGAATTCGTCTGGTAAGCTATCTTCGGGGTCTACTTGTCCTAATAATCTTTTGAATTTTGCGGCGTATGCATCGACCTTTTTGTCCTTTTTCTGTTGGAGACTATTTAGTTCTTTCTGCCACATGTGACGTTTTTCCGGAGTGGCGAAGAATTCGATGAAGGCGTGGTAGAAGCTTTTTGGTTTGTTTTCTTTGTCCTTCCATTCTTCTAAGTCTTTCTTGTTCCTTTTGTACCAATCAGCGGCCAAGTCTTTAAGGTAACCGGACGCGATTTTCAGCATTCTTTCTTCGGACCAGTTATTCGCTACAGCGGCGCTTTCAAATGCTTCCAACCATTCTATTGGGTCTTCGTTGTTGTGGCTGTGGAATGGATCAATCTTTACATGGGTCAATTCTCTTCTTTCTCCTGGTTCCTTCTTTACGTTAGTGATTGTATTTGCGACTTGGGTGAAGGAATCGGTTAGGCCTTCAAGTAGTTCCTTTAACTGCTCTTTATTCATTTCAGGAGTTGGGGTTTTACTGTTCCAGGTAAATATGTTTTCCACTTTGTTTATCTTTTTGAGTATCTTCTTATTCAAATTTTCTTTCTTATTTAGATGCCTTTCTATTATAAAACTTCTTTTTATATCCTCTTTTTGTTACTAATCTTTACTATTTGTATCTATTTTGTCATTTCTATGTAAAGCAATAATTCATTATAAATAAAGGCCGTAAAGGCCCTAGAGGAAAAACACCTCCTACCTTCGCTTGATTAAACCTAATAATATTACCTTAATAATTACCTAACAAATTCAATAAATAAACTTCGCTAAATTACCCTAACACAAATCTTTGAATAAATCATTAAGTGATAAACCTCCTGTTTGATAAACCCTTACTCACATGACCCTCGTTAAATTAGGTACTTCGTCCAGTTGTTAACCTGACATACTAGGTACAACTGTGGTTAATAAGTTCAGCTTACCTGAAGTAGTGTAGTATAGCTGATGTTAAGGAAAGACCAGAAAGAACCTGGATATAAGAAATACTTACCTACAGATACCAAACCACTGACCAAATCTAAACACCTCTTTTCGATAAGCCTACTGTAGGTTATGCAAGGAATAGGATTGTTGAGCGACTGACTTGCCGTTGTTCTGGTTTTCAATATTAATTTTAAATTAGAGGTGTGATCTTTTGGATTTGGATATTCATTAATAATATATATGAATATCCATATTTTACTTGAATATTTGCAAATAAATTCACAGATATTCATTACAGTAAATATAATACTATATAAATTTTAACTATGTTCTAGCTATATTTTAAGAGATATTCATCGACTATTCATGAACTTTGTGTAACTAAATATTTATCAAATACAATTTTTGAATATCATGAATTGAATTTAAGGTTCTTAACAGTTGACTACTAAACTATCAATTTTTAAAACTCTTAACAGTTAACTACTAAATCATCAATCATTAAGATTCTTAATAGTCAACTATTGAATTATTAATTGTTAAGATTCTTAACAGTCAACTACTGAACTATAAATCATTAAAATTCTTAATTATCAATCATTAAGATTCTTAACAGTCAATTATTAAGATTCTTAACAGTCAACTAATGAATTATCAATTATTAAGATTCTTAATGGTCAACTACTGAATTATCAATCATTAAGATTTTTAATAGTCAACTACTGAATTATTAATCATTAAGATTCTTAATAGTCAGCTACTGAATTATCAATTATTAAGAGTCTTAACAGTTAATTATTAAGATTCTTAATAGCCAACTACTGAATTATTAATCATTAAGATTCTTAACAGTCAACTACTAAATTATCAATTGTTAAGATTCTTAATGGTCAACTACTGAATTATCAATTATTAAGATTCTTAATAGTCAACTACTGAATTATAAATCATTAAGATTCTTAACAGTTAACTACTAAATTATCAATTGTTAAGATTCTTAATAGTTAACTATTGAACTATTAATCAATAAGATTCTTAATAGTTAACTACTAAATTATTAATCATTATGACTTTTAATAGTCAATTACTGAATTATTAATTGTTAAGATTCTTAATTATCAACTACTGAATTATTAATTATTAAAATTCTTAATAGTCAACTACTGAATTATCAATTATTAAGATTCTTAATAGTTAACTACTGAATTTTAAATCATTAAAATTCTTAATGATCAACTATTGAATTATCAATTATTAAGATTCTTAATAGTTATTAATGAACTATTAATTATTAAGATTCTTAATGGTTAACTACTAAATTATTATAAATCATTAAGATTCTTAACAGTTAACTACTGAATTATTAATTTTTAAGATTCTTAATATCAACTACTGAATTATCAATTATTAAGATTTTTAACAGTTAACTACTATATTATCAATCATTAAGATTCTTAATAGTTAACTACTAAATTATTAATCATTAAGATTCTTAATAGTCAACTACTGAATTATTAATTGTTAAAATTCTTAATAATTAACTTCTGAATTATTAATCATTAAGATTCTTAACAATTAACTAATAAACTATTAATTATTAAGATTTTTAATAGTTAACTACTGAATTATCATGAATTATTAAGATTCTTAATAATTAACTACTGAATTATCAATCGTTAAGATTCTTAACATCAACTACTGAATTATTAATTATTAAGATTTTTAACAGTCAACTACTGAATTTTCAATTGTTAAGATTCTTGATGATCAACTACTGAATCATCAATTGTTAAGATTCTTAATAAGTAGCTATGCAATATAGTTGCACAAAACCAGAAATAAGAAAATTAATATATTATTATATCAGATATTATATATAGATAGAACTTTAAAGTATTTTTATATATATATTATACTCACAGGCTAAATTAATGAATGAAAGAAATATTTTGAAGAGTATTAGATAATCAATTATAAATAAGTATTTAGTAATAAATATTTATAAATAAGTATTTATAATAATATTTTTACTTCTATAGATCAATATTAATAAATTATCTTTATAATTATAGACTAAATTAATATGAATGAAAGAAATAATTTGATAAGTATAATATAATTAATTATAAATAAATATTTAGTGATAAGTATTTATAAAATAAGTATATATTCATAATTTAATAAAATTAATTTACATTAATAAATCATTTTTATACTTACAAACTATTTGAAAAGTATTAGATGATTAATTATAAAGAAGTAATTAAAGATAAGTAATTATGAAAAAGTATTTATATTTATAATTTTAATAAAACTAATTAAATTAATAAATCATCATTATACTCACTTATGTTAAAAAATCATCTTTATAAAGGTTATTTAAAAAGTATTAGATAATTAATTATAAAGAAGTTTTTAGAGTTAAGTATTTATGAACTAGTATTAATATTCATAATTTTAATGAAATAATTAAATTATCTTTATACTTACTCACTATTTGAAGAGTATTAGATAACTAATTATAAATAAGTATTTAATGCTAAGTATTTATGAATAAGTATTTATATTTATAATTTTAATTATACTGATTAACTATTTTAATACTCATACACTATTTGAAGAGTATTAGATAATTAATTGTAAATAAGTATTTAGAGATTAGTAGATATGAATAAGTATTTATATTTATAATTTAATAAAACTAATTAATATTAATAAATTATCTTTATGCTTACTAACATGATTTGAAAGGTATTAGATAATTAATTAATTGTAAATAAGTGTTTAGTAATAAATATATATATTCATAATTTTAATAAAACTAATTAACATTAATAAATTATCTTTATACTTATTCACTATTTGAAGGTATTAGACAATTAATTGTAAATAAGTATTTAGAGATAAGTATTTATGAATAATATTTATGTTCATGATTTTAATTCTACTAAATAACATTAATAAATCATCTTTATACTCACTGACTAAATTAATGCAACTAAAATAATTTGAAGAGTATTAGATAATTAATTAATTGCAAATAAGTATTTAGAGTTAAGTATTCATGAATAAATATTATATTTATGATTATAATGAAACTAATTAATGTTAATTAATAAATTATCTTTATATTTATTTTTTGAATAAAATAATTTGAAGAGTATTAAGTAATTAATTAATCATAAATAATTATTTAGCAGTTAGTAATAAGTATTTATGAATAAGTATTTAAGTTTATGATTTTAATTCTACTACTTAAAATTAATAAATTATCTTTATGCTTATTTTCTGAATAAAATGATTTGAAGAGTATTAAGTAATTAATTTTAAATAAGTATTTAAATAATCAGTATTTATAATTTGAATAAAACCAATTAACATTAATAATTTACAAAGTATTAATAATCATTGAGAATAAAGGAAAGTCAAATTATTTTTTATATTACTTTATCAAGAAGGATGAGAACTCCTTCTTTCACTATTAGTGTTTGTACTTGATTAAAAAAATACTACTTGGGTTACCTAACAGGTGAACTCACAGGTTACCCAGGTAATCGATGGATATACACAGATATAAAAGTTTACCTGATGTACTTGAGTAGAAATAACTCTGATGCCAAGGAATTAATTTTTGAAAAAATGCAATTACTGCATTTGAACTAAGATTTGCATCTGGAAAATATGTACCATGTTGCTGCACCACAATGGCTTGAGAGGTCAATTAAAAAAAATAATAACTAGCTTCTAATGTTTAAATAAATTTAAACAGTCATTCTTAGCTTACTTTTTGTTTATTTTATTTTTACTAGAGATGAGATTTCATCCCATCAAAATTTTGTATAGAACAATTATATAAGCTTCAAGATTTAAAATTCAATACAGTTTTATTCTCATTTATTTATGAATATCATTAAGAATTTCTTTTGTTATCTTAGTGTTGCCCTTTTTTTGCATGAAACAATTCGTACATTGATGCAAATTCACGTGTATAGTATTATTTTGTCTATCTCTAATTTTAATGCTATTTAGATTTCAATTCAATATTATAATAATTCGGATCTGTGAATAAAAAATTTATTGAAGACTATTTCTATATACTGTATATATGATACAAAATTTTAAGTCTTCCATGATCAAACCTATAATAAATCTCTGCACTTTCTGCATTTTTAAAAATAAAAATGACGAAGATAATTAAAACATTATATTAAAAATTATTCTGATATGGATCTCTAAAATCTAATGCTATTCAGCTCCATATTTATGAAAACAGTATAAACATTAGTAAAATATAATATTGTTTGATTAAATCTTTCGCTTTGTCAATAGAATATGAATAATTAATTAATATTATAATAAATATCAATATCTAATATTTCAACAATTTGTTATATTCACAAATCTGAATTACTGTATTATCAACTAATTCGGTCATTTCTATTTTAATAAAATTATTCTCAAATAGAAATGTTTCAAGTTAAAGAATTAGATTCGAAAAATATTAAAGTTATCGTTATCGTTAAACAACAAATTCA